AAAAAACTTCTAAATATTATTGCGACGTTGTAACAAACTACCATTTATATTTTTATTTACATACTATTTAATATTTTTATTTATTGATAACACAAAAGCTCGTCAATATCTATTAAAAAAAAAAAAAGAATTAAGAAAATTGGTTGAATAATAGAGGAGTAAAAGGGGCTGAACCGATTTGTGTTTGCCTATTTATATAATGATATCAACAATACTGTTTTATTCAAAACCAAAACGTGAGACGAAGGCAATTAGCGAAATAATTATAGAATATTTAAAACGCATTCTTAAATAATTAAAAATAATAAATGACTCATAAATAATCAATATTCATATAAAATATTTTGTAAGGTTTTCTAAATGCACAATTGATTAATTTTTATTTTTAATAAAGATAAGGCTTAACATGCATGGTATTTTCAAGCTCAGTTCCTTTTTTTTTTTTTGATATATTATTAAACATTTTTTATATTTAAATTTAATCTAGATTACAATATTTTTTAATCAGGTTATGCACCAAATATTTGGGCTTTTATTAGTTAAGACATATCATAAAAAATATTATGTTTTTAAATTTATCTTCCTGACAATTTCGGACAAAGGAGAAGAGAAAATAAAAATAATAGACGTTATATTTCACTGTGGGTATTTTTATTTGCATAAGTACCCTTAAAAAAATGTTAAGCGTGTTACAATGAATTTAATATATTCTACTATAATCTAAATTATAAAGCCACGAGTCTAACATACCAACAAGTGAACAGTTAACTACCCAACTTTTCCCCTAATCAGGCATCATCAGAGAAGAAAAAAAGTAAGAAGAAAAAATAAAAATAAATTTCCTATTGACATCTCAACAAGCCATCCAAAAACATACTGCTACATACTAGGAAACAAGAGAGAAAGATTACAAAAAAAAACAATTTTTATATTATTATATTTGAAGTACAAGTATTTTTTTCCTGTAACTCTGCTAATCAGCTATTTTATATAACAATATGCTCTCTTTTTTTCTTTAGTATGTTTTTGGATGGCTTTAAGAGCTGTCAATAGCAAGTTTATCTTTATTTTTACTTTCACTTACTTATTGTAATATATAGTAAGGGTAAGTATTGTGATCGTGAAAATTTTTAAATCTGAGTTTTCAACGGAAATACAGGTTTCGAGGTCTCCTAAGTCCAAATAACTAAGTCCCCAAAAATGTTCTGTGTGTCTGTGTGTTTATATGTTAGTAGTCTAGCTCCAAAAACGAAAAGTCATAAAAATACATATGCCCTAGATGTGGCAGCAACTTTTTCCTTAAGATTGGCTAACCGGAAGTGCCACTTTATTGTATCATTGTATAATTAAGTGGTTTTTAATATGATTTAGGTAGGTCTGAACGGGCTCTCAGAGAAGCGTTTATAAGCCTTGAAGCAGGTGCAAGACCACTTGGTCTAGAAGTCAACGAGAGGAAAACTAAGTATATGAGAGTTGGTGGTGAGGTGGATCTGAACTCTCCATTTGAGGTAGGTTCTTTTAAGTTTGAGAGAGTGAAAAGTTTTATATACCTTGGGGCTGAAATTAATAGCAAGAATGACATGGCTCAAGAAATACAAAGAAGGATCACGGCTGCCAATAGATGTGTCTTTGGACTTGGCCGACACTTAAGAAGTAGGTACCTCTCAAAGAAGACCAAGCTGATCATATACAAGACCCTTGTTCGGCCTGTTTTGACATATGGCTCAGAGGCTTGGACGATGACTAAAAAGGATGAGATGAAGCTGAGTGTCTTTGAGCGAGAAGTCCTCAGAAGGTTTTATGGTCCAGTAAAGGAGGGTGATGTCTGGAGGAAAAGAAAAAATAGGGAGCTCAGTTCGCTCTATGCAGACATCGACGTAGTTACGTATATTAAACTGGCCAGACTAAGGTGGGCAGGGCATGTGGCCAGAATGAGCACCGTTGAAATACCAAAAAAAATAATGATGGAGGAGCTGCACCTCGTAAGACGGGTAGGAATGCCGAGGACGAGATGGTTGGACAACGTGGCCTATGATGCGAGAACCCTGCTTGGTGTACGGAACTGGAGAGCTGCAGCAAAAGACAGAGCCAACTGGTGGAGGCTCTTGGAGGAGGCCCAGTCTCGGTAACGGGATGTTGTGCCGTACATCATCATCATATGATTTAGGCCTTATCCCCATTGATGTCATTTTACAGAGTTTAAATGCCATATACTTCTTCCTCGAAAGTATCTTTAATATGGTTTATTTTTATATAATTAACTATCTCTCATTATAAGGAATTACGATAAAACGCTAAATATAACTTTTGAAACAATTTGATAATTGAATTAAAGGGAAAAAAATAAAAATGCTAATAATCAAAAGGTATGCGTATAATATATCGTCGGAAACCTGAGAATTTTAGAAAAAATATAAATGTCTGATATAGAAAGTTGTAGAAGGTAACGGAGAGTGGCGAAAGAAGTATAAATAATTATTTCAGAAAACTAACATTATTTTACGTAAATCACATATTTCCAAGGAAATTAAATGAAGTTTTCTTACTACGTGTAAATTTTTAAATGTTTTTCTAATTTTGAATAAAAAGTATTTAAAATCCACCGAATCAAGCCATTGGCATTGTTTAAAGTAATATTTCATTGATATCTTCTTTATAATTTCAAATATATTTACTATACAGTATTAACTCTAGATTAGACATTATATTTAAATAATTAGGTATCTATCGGCCGTTTATTCCAAAAAATCATCAAGTAACCTTTCAGAAAATTATATTAGTGAATAATTTGATGAATTTTCCCTTTGTGAAATCTTAACATTATCTACTTACAATTAGTGTGATAACTTTTGACCTATTCATAGCAGGCAATGAAAATCTCGTAATTTCATTTTAGTAAACTTTACAATAAAAAATAACAGTTTAATAACTAAAAATCCTACAATCCATAATCATTTATAGGTTAAATATTCAGATATACTTTCAAACCTCTCTTGGCATATATGAGCCTTTCGGTTGACTGAATTACTAACCCCAATTTCAACATTCTTTATTATTAATTTTATTGATGTTTCTATTGGCAAAATGTCTACCTTTATTTACAGTTCTATATTTCAAAACTGCAATCACCTATTCTGGAATTAACTTACTTACTGTCTGTATAAATAACTTTTTGAACTAGAAATATCACAGAAATTACATTACTTAAAAATGTTGAAATACGAGTTAGTCATTCCGTCAACTGAAAGGCTCAGAGAATGAAGTTGTGTGGTTTATAAAAGTAGATGAAGTAACTAGAGTTTTATTGCCTACCGTCGATATAATAAATAGACTTTATGTAATGTTATTGGTCTTAATGGCATGTTATCTGTAAGCTTTAAGCTTTAGTTCCATTTAAAATGCACTTCAAAAATGTTATAATAGCCTAGCATAGCCAGAAAATAATTTCAATTCAAAGTATGCTATGAGGCTCCACCAAACCTTCAAATTCCTCTCGCATCCAATCCTTACGAACCAAAATCCTTCGTAAAATCCTCAATGCTCCTTACTTTGTTACAAATAAAATTATCCATAATGACCTTAATGTTCCTTATGTATCAGATTTGGCCCAATCCAGATATCTGTCCTTCCATAATAAACTTCATAACCATCCCAACCCTCTTGTCTCTAACCTTGCTTCCTATTCGATTCCTGATAACCCTCCGAGGCGTCTGAAAAGAAGATGGCCGCGTGATCTTCTAATATAGACATATTATTAGAGTGCTACCAATGGGTAGTTTCTCAACATGTGTTCCATGCCATTATATCAATGTGCGAATTTACCAGATATATTTTTTGTATACAGTTGTAAATATCAGATAAATAAATAGTAAAATAAAAATAAAAAAATTCAAAGTAGAGCGGTAAGTGAAAGTTGTGTGTTGCGAGCACCATTTTTTTCTTCTGTATCTATGTTTTGCTGTTTTTCCTGCCCTGATGTTGCCTGAATTGGCCAAACGTTAGTTAAGTGTTCACTTATATGTTAAAGACTCGTCGCTTTATAGTTTGGATAGTTCCATCATGTTCCTTTTTTTAGCTTCTTGCTTTTTTTAGTAGCATTAATATATACTTTGAAAAAAAAACTTGAATTATTTAATATTTAATTTTCAATATCTAAAAAATATAAATAAAGATAACAATAAATACTGAATGAATTTAGAGATATGGTGTTTGTCAACTTAAAAATGAGGGATAAATATTGAAAGGTACATAGCCACATTGACAATTAAGAAATATAAAGGGCCGTGAAGATAAAAAAAAAAGTTGAAACGTTGACCTTTAAATGAGAAAGAGATGAAAAAAGAAATTATTTCTTTAATTGTTATCGATCTTCTTTTATGAATAATAATTAAATCATATCCTATGTACAAAAGTGGATTTCATTCACTAGAAATTTTTTTAAAAAATTCAAATAAAAATCAAAAATGGGCTACATCAATTCAAATTTTTCAAAATCACTAATGCGCCCATAACAAATTTTTTACATATTATCCTACACTGAATAGAAGTTAGTTTTTAAATCAATTATCGAATCTGTAGTAATTAAAATAAAACAAAATTATCAAAGATTATAAACGTATACTTTTTCTATTCTTAAACTCCACTTGATTGATTATTAGCAATATGCATCTATTCTTCTTCACGTATTCTTTCACATAAATACAATAAGATATATATTGAATATATTCAAACTATAAGCTAAGTATCATTTTAAGAAAAACATATGGAAACACCAAACATAATAAAAAAAATCGCCGATGACATTGAAAAATGTCGAAATCGGTGGTGGGACGAAGGTGAAGAAACTATACCCAGTGAGTATATAAGAGAGGATTGGAAAGGGTGTGATAAGTCAGCGCAATACAATCAACCGATCAACATGTACAAGGTGCCAGCATACACAAAAATTATATATCCATACAATTATAAATTAATGTACTAACTATCTATCCTTATTGTAGGTAGCCCTTTTCGCCTGTATGGTGGGTGTAGCAGTTGCCCAATATGGCCACAACTACGGACATCACGAAGAAAAATACGTTGATTACTATGTAAGTATTTTCACAGTCATTACTGTTTAAAATAATTTTGAAATGGTTTGGTATTGAGATCGTTCATTCATAATTTCATAAGGCCCCACCACACTACAAGTTCGACTACAGCGTCCATGATCCCCACACCCACGACGTGAAGAAGCAGGAAGAGACCAGGGAAGGAGACGTGGTCAAGGGCTACTACTCCCTCTACGAACCCGATGGTACCGAGAGGATCGTCCACTACACCGCAGACAAGCACAATGGATTCAACGCCGTCGTAGAGAGAAAAGGACACGCTGTCCACCCACAAAACTATGGACACTCCTCTGAAGCTTACTACGGACACCATTCCGGTGGATACTCAGGTTCTTCAGGTGGTTCCTCCGGTTACAGCGGTGGATCAGCCTCTTCTTCTTCATCTTACCACGGACACTACTAATTTATAATTCGATGAATGTAAATAGTCTTTTTATACTTTTTTAATAAATTATTTATAATCAAAATGAGCTCTATTTATATTATCACATAAATTATACCTGATGGTACTGAAGGGTTCGTCCACTACACCGACCAGAAAAACAATGTTTTAAAATCCATACCAAAGAGGAATGAACACACTACAGAAATATGGACACTCTTCGAAAGTTTTCATATTTATTTTTGTTTGGTGGGGCACACGCCCACTGACGAACATAAACAAATTCTCAAGTTAGGTACGGAATTCAGGATCTTCTGAAGGTTTAACGTGCTACAGCAGCGTTGGTTTAGCATCTTCGTCAGCATTCCACTAAAATTAACTACTCTTTATTAATTCTTTACAATTAAATATCAAGCTAGGTCGAGTTATATAATTGAAATATCAAAACTAATTTAATAAGTTGTTGAGTTATTAATTATTCAGTTATTAAACAAATCTGAAATATTTTTTAAAGTAATATATGTTATGTTTTTGTGAATTAGAACAAAGACAAACCACGTAATTTAGAATTCCCTTAAAATTGGATAATTAAATAAATAAACAATATATATTTTTCTAAATTGCAAAATAATTTTTTTTATTTTAAAAATATAATTTATGTGCCTTGAAAATTAAAAGTTCCCTTTTAACGTATGTTTTTACCTATTTTTTCTGGACAACGGAAATTTTTCAAGAGAAAATATAGCGTTTTTTTTTTTAATCTAGTTTCTTAATTTCTAAATAACTACTCTCTCATTTTCTTTCACTTTTGCCACTTGTACTAAATAACGTTTATTTTTTCAATATTTCTTTTTTTTTCATTTAAAGGAACAATTAAAAATAATATTTTTCTCAGTAGAACATTTTAAGAAATATAAAAAAAAAAAAAAAAAAAAAAAAAAAAAAAAAAAAAAAAAAAAAAAAAAAAAAAAAAAACCTGTACCACTAATAACCTATGAAGTGTCTTGGGTTCAGGGGTTCAGTACAATATGAGGAATTACTGTTGCCAGGCCAAAAGTTGTACAGTAAGGTGATCGGGCAGGGATTACACTCAACAGCCAGGTTTTTCCCTTAATTAATTATTTATTAAGAGTACCCACTTTATAGAGGTTGGGTATAACCAAAGAGAGCCTCCTAGCACCAGACTCAATCCACGGCTGATGTAAAATTACTAGTCATCAGCTGGATACCTTGAGGTCTGGAAGTCAATGCACACTCACTAAGCTACCCCGCTCCGTTCTGAAATAATATAAATTTTAAAAGTATTTATTTATATAATTTTACTTTGACGAATTTACAGACCCCCGATTGTTCAATTTCAAGAAGAAAAAGAATAATACTAATAATACTAGAATAATACTAATAAATATACGTAAAATTCAGATATTTTTTCAGAAATTTCAGGTAGACATAAATTAGATAATTTAAAAATCAAAATAGCCTGTTTTTAATAGCCTAAAATAAACTAAGGGGATGAACATCCTGAATACTGCTAAAATAATATATATTTAAATTGCCAATCTTATAAATGTATAAGGTATAAACAATAGGTGGGGAATCTTTTTATTATTCGAGGCCACAGTAAGGTAAGGCATTACTATTGGAGATTTCAAAAAAAATTTATATTTTATGTTGCTATTTTATTTATAACTAAACACACACACCCATGTAGGTACATAGGAATATAGGTATATTCAACTTAATTCTATTAATTTTCAAATTTTCGCAGCCTAACTAATTAAATAATTACTAATTATAAAGCTAGTTTAATAAATATCACACAAAAACGTTAGGAGGTCACATGCGACGTAGAGACTACAGGTTTCAGACCTATGGTACATAAAGAATATATCCATCGATAATATAATAAGTGCTGGAATATGTTAGAAAATACCAAATTTATTTCACAACAAATGTTTTAAGACAATATATACAAATAAACCAATATCAAAAGAATCAACGTTAATTAACGAATAAGGAATTACAGGATATAGTAAAATCTATTTTTTTTTTCCTTTAGAATATAAAATTAGTACTTACATCTATGAATAAGCAATCGATATATGCATAGAAATAATAGTTTAATTGGATAAATAATTTTCAGAGAATGTTTATTAGCAGAAATAATATAAATTTGACTGGTAAAACCTACGTTGGAACATTATGTTCTGAAAAAAAACCTTAACATTTTTTTTATGTTATAAAAACCAAGCAGTTCCCAAAACTTAACCGTTCGTTGGAAAAATTACTTCGAAATTAGACAAGGTGTCTGAGGAAGGTGAGATGGGAAACAAGTAATAAATCCTTTAACAACCCGTTCAGCAAAAACGAGTTCATTGGAATGTGGTGAGCGCCAGCGATTGTGGTTTGCCAGGGAGCTAATCAGGGCAGCCATGAATAAGTACTCCGAGATTTTAGGTTCACACTTTTCGTGATATATATAGATATCATATTCGGTCTACAATTGCAGTAAATAGATATTTATAATTAAATATACATAACTAAATTTGGTATAAAAGTAATGGTAATTGAGATATAATTTATTACAAGTAATAAATTTCTTTATCCTTATTTATTTCGCGGATATATTGACATTAAAAAAGCAATGAATTAAAAAAAAAAAAGTTACAGTATGAGTTTACACCACACGATCAACAAAGCGAAATTAATAATATGAAACTTTTTTTTTTTTTTTTTTTGTTCAATATTTATAACTTTTATTATTATAGTTGTGTTTGATATATACAATTATAGCTGTATATAACTTTCTATAAACTTTGCTCTGACTGGTAGTAATTTGTATCATACTCCAATAATGATGCAGTATGATAACTAAAGTATGTGATGAATACTTTTGATTAAAAACTATTTGCTAAAAACTCGGTTATTATTATACTATTAGTTCTGTAAAGAGAGTTAGTCATCTGTCGAAACTTGTCGAGTGCAACAGAAAATCGAATAGAAAGACCTAAGTTATTATTTGTATGGCTAATTAAAAAATAAACATCTGCATTAAATGTTTGAGATATTTTAGTCAAAATGTTTACAATATTATTTCTTATTTGAATTTTGGCGCTATCGTTCTCTCTTTCCGAGTTTCTGATTCGGTGTCACGTCAAAATACAATTTTAGAAAATACAAATAACATTTCCCTCGCTTACAGTATGCAGGTCCGATTTTTAGTTTCTGAGATACTTTAATCCATATACAAAAACACTTCTACTTGAGCCAACTTTACCCGAATGAGTGTTACATATCTGAGACTGACGGTTCAGTTTCAGATAACTGATTATTTTTAATTTCCAATCTATATGTTATTTTCATTATGTTTCTAGAAAATACTCTCATTTTTCTAAGTCTGGAGATAATTAAAAAAATATTTTAGAGATTATATATTTTGAATACCACAACCTAAGATATGGGTTAGACTATGCTTGTCAAAGATTGTTCAAGAAGGCCGTATAGTTAAATCAGCACCCATGCTCAACTATTAGGTTATGCAAAATGTGAGATATCTAACTCAGAACTTAATTGTGCTAAGTTCAAATAACATATGATTATAATATTTATGATGAATATAAACCGTTTATAATAAATTAAAAAATCGGATACTTAATACCTCATTGAGAGACATAATGTAACTTTGTATTCTAAGGTTACATTTGAGTATTTCTCTAAAATATACTATGAATTTTATAATAAGACCATAGCCAAATATCTCCCATTTATAAATTATTAGTCCTAAAAATGAAAAAAATAAATCGGTCATGCGGATAGACACTTATAGAAACTAAAAGCATGGTCTCCGTCCATAAAGGTTTCTTTTTAGATTTTATGATCAGTGCTGAGCTGTGTACTAGTGATTTATCCTCTAAATAATGTTACAATATTAAATGTCAGAAGTAAGCTATGTTATGAAACGAAACTAATCAAAACGAAATAAGGTCTGATATTGTTTTTTATCGTTCTCAGGACCGTACATGTCACATATTCAGTTAATACAGTAAAAGGTAACTATTAAGAAATCAATCAAGGAAATAATTTCTGATAAGATCGAAAATGAATCGCGAGCGATGATTATAGCAGAAAGTATTGTAATAAATAAATATATATATATATCATATGAATTTCATTTCAAATTATTTTATTTTTCATTATTAATGAATTTTATATAATTCTTCCATTTCACCAAAAAAATAAGTATTTGTTTGATAAAATCAACGAAACGGCACTAACGTGTAATAGCTTAAAAATTATTGTAATTGTTTTGTATGACAAATAAATAACATTGTAATATTCCTAGCCATAATTTTTCTTTTAAGGACCTCTCATGAGCGGTACATAGAGGTTCTGCAATATTAAGATTCGAAAAAATAATCAAATTTTTAAAAAACTTAAAATTAGTAAAACGGAAATACATTCAAAATGTATTCTGTCATTTGAAAAACCACAAAGAAACTGGTATGAATAAAAAAATTAATAAAATAAAAACTTGTTAAATGTCAACTATCCTGTTTTAATATTAAGTAGTACGACGAGAGATGAAGAAATAATGCCCACTTAGTAAGTATATAAGGACAGGCAAGCAGGCTTGAACCAAGTTGAAGCAGTGCAGTCAAACCACAAACATGTATAAGGTATTAGCTCAGTTTATTCTCTTATTATATTCACTTATATTATTCTTCAGTAATATAATACTATACTTCACTTTTTTCCCTTATATATAGATCCTTTTGTTAGCTTGTTTCTTGGGCGCAGCCGTAGCACAATACGGTCACAACTACGGGCATTATGAAGAACATGAAGTAGATTACTATGTAAATATTTTTTTTTTTATAAATTAATTTACTCTTGGATTACTTCCCAAAATACATACAATAAAATATATTCAATGGTTCTAGGCTCCTCCTCATTACAAGTTCGACTACGGAGTACACGACTCCCACACCCACGACGTCAAGAAGCAGGAAGAGACCAGGGAAGGAGACGTGGTCAAGGGCTACTACTCCCTCTACGAACCCGATGGTACCGAGAGGATCGTCCACTACACAGCAGATCCTCACAACGGATTCAACGCCGTCGTAGAGAGGAGAGGACATGCTGTCCACCCTCAGCATTACGGACACTCCTCTGAGGCTTACTACGGACATTCTGGAGGATACTCTGGCTACTCAGGTTCTTCTGGTGGATACTCAGGATCCTCTGGCGGATACTCTGGTTCATCTGGTGGATATTCAGGATCATCAGGTGGATACTCCGGTGGTTCAGCATCATCGACATATCACAGCAGTTACTAAAGCATACTGAAATGAGTGTACATAATTCTTTTTTTATATTTTTATAAACTATTAAAATAAAATTAAAAAAATCAATATTGATTTATACATCCTTTACCTCCATAAATGGTATAAATATTATATAATAACCATAACGGATCGATTAATGAGAAGTATTGTTCAAGATATAGGATATTATAACTTGCAAGATTTAAATGAAAAAGTTTAAAATATGAACTGGGGATATTCCTTTATTATATCATAAAATAGCACAGACCAATAATCATTAATCAAAAACCATCCAATAAGATAAAAATCCCCTTTGCTGCTGATTTTGTCTCCGGCAATTTATAGAGCCGTGTTTATCACCAATCTTCATTCTTTGATCTAATATCTGGTCAATCTTTAACACAATTAATACAGTTCATTCATTCACCGAATGTTTTTCAAATGAACACCTTCCCTCCTAAAAAAACAACAAGGGTAGTAAAAAGTTGGTAGTAATCCATTAACCGCTGATATTAGTTCCAATAGCCTGGATAATATGGTACGGATGTTTGCACTAACATCAATTGTTTAAATTAAGTTATTGTAGTATTTTAATAGAAAATTTATCAATATAATGAAATTTTCCGTGGATTTGTATAATAAGCAAGGTTAAAAGTTTGAAATAATAGTCCGTGGTACAGACCCTCTTTTATCAATATCCCCCACAAAACTTCGTAAATAGCTTCATCTCATCGTAACCTCCATTTTTATTAAACGAAATTTTGGGAAATGAGTCGTTTTCAATCTGGATATCGGTAAACTTTTCTCTGTTTAATTAGGTACTAACACCTCGTACACATCCATTGATTTCTATTTCTTTTCTTTTTTTTTTATACTCCTCTACCTAGCATTTTTATACATACGAAGGTATTCCTGGGCCAGGGGATGAGGGATGGGAATTTAACTTTTTAACGTTATCAGGTTGCCAAACAATGCGTGGTGCTGTGCACACACGTTAGCCCGTTCGGCCACCCCGACCCCCATTTGCTTTCATCTTGAATAGTAAGATTTCATTTCATCACAAATTCAAGAATAATGGTGGCATACAAAAATATTAGATCGTTTGGCATGACTTCCATCCCCAACGTGTCAAAATAATGAGATTATATACGGCCCAAAATTTTTGCAGGGCACCTTTTTATTTCTATTTTTAGATTATTTTATGATTCATGTAGAAAGCGAATGTGTATTTATGAGTTTTTACTAACTCATTAAATTAATTAATTTTATGAGAAATCGTCCCATTTCTGAGAATTTTTTAATATAACAATTTGTAGCCTATCATAAGATGAAGTCATTAACGAAGTTTTAAGAGGTTGTTAATAATTTGATCAAAAGTGGTCTGTACCACGGACTAGAAGTTCTTAAGAAATAATAACGAGTTCATGCAATCTATGAAAAATAATTAAAGCAGGGATTATGTTCTAAAGAACTGAATGATAACTTTTATGGTTTATAATAATTGCATGAACTGTTGAGAGCACAACCGTAGTTAATAGAAAATAAAATATAAAACCTAATTAGCAAGATAAATAAAGATTATTTAATCAATAATGGAGGTAAATAGAGCAATACTACTTGGAGAAAAAAGCCTTACGCAGCTAAGCTTCGTCATGAACCTCATATTTTCTAATCACTTAGTTTAGAAAGATATGAAAAATTAACATTGGATAGAATTTAGAAATCATTCAAAGTATTGAATTTTATTCTGATGTTTTCTGATATAACGATTGTTTTCTTCAAATAACTGCTAAACTTATTTTCATATTTCCCAAAAGCAAATCCCAAGTAAGAGTACCGAAATCGGTATTCAATGACTTCTGCAGTAAACGAACGACATGAAAAGTACATGCTTATGGTGTCATTTCTAAGGATGTCATAGAAGAAATCTTGGCAGAGAACGTAGGAGCAGGCGTCCCAGGATGCCCACTTATAAAGGTTGTGGGTTCAAATCCCTCCTGGATCGGTTAATATTTATTTCTCACCTGCCCTGATCTTGACACTCCCACTCTGGAGAATACGCGGTGTTAACTTTAAAGTAGCCGCTAGGAGTTGGCAAAGAGGACCGCCCACTAGGCCCATTTTTCGAGCTAATTCCGCCAAATCAATACCAGAAATAATAATTCTATTGTCAATACTTTTTAATTAAATTACTTATTTAACAAAATGGCGAGCAAATGAAAAAGTACTGAACCTCAAAGAAAATTTTCTAACAATATATAAAGTCACATAAACATTATCAATCTTATAACTCGATTTGTAGGTTCTACAGGAGTGTTAAAATCCTTCGGAATTAAAACAAAAAACAAATTTCTGCCTAGAAAAAAAAATTGAGACTCCCAAAAGGAACTTCTAAAATACAAACTTAATTAAATATTTTGTAATAGATTGTAATATTTCTCAATAAACTTTTTATTTACTGACATTTTTTTTACAAATTTACTTCTCTTTATATAGGACAATAGTTCTTAAAAACAACTACATGTAGTAAAATTTCAGTAAATTGAAATTAAAAGGAAACGTTGAAAGTGCCCAGATGAAGATAGGGGAAAAATAATATTTATTTGTACATACATACTCTAATCCTAAAATTTGTATTATTCATCTGACAACCCTAAAATCGTGCTCTAGAAGTTATGAAATGTATTTAGAATGCACTCACACATTGGAATATTTGCTTACTCTGTTAAAATTTGAAAGGTTAGGACCTCGGAGTACAAATGATTGAATATCGATCGATCAGAAAAAATATCTCAAATACTATAATATGAGATGTGTAATTTTAAAAAATGTGCTCTGCAAAAAATGAAAATGATAGAGCACACGATTATGGAATAAATACAAATAATAATCACGATAACGAATAACCACTAGTTTGGCAATTGTAAATAGTAAGCTATACCTCATCCCATCCATCCATATCGCTATTGACAGAAATCTATATCATAACCAATATATCACTCGTTAAATCGGTGGTGGGACAAGATGTGAGGAAATGATTCTCGCTGAGTATATAAGGCGAAAGGAGAGGGACAGAAGCAAGTCGAAGCAGTACAGTCAACCGAACAACATGTACAAGGTACCACCATACACATATCTTATATATCGATACATCACCATATATTTCTACATACTGACTGAGTATTGATATTGTAGGTAGCTCTTTTCGCCTGTCTGGTGGGTGTTGCTGTGGCCCAGTACGGTCACAACTATGAACACAAGGAGGAACACTACGTAGACTATTATGTGATTGTTTAATATTATCTACATTAATCATTTAATCATTTTCATTATCAAGGATTGCTATTATAAACACCACATCTTGTCCTTTTAGGCCCCACCACACTACAAGTTCGACTACAGCGTACACGACCCCCACACCCACGACGTCAAGAAGCAGGAAGAGACCAGGGAAGGAGACGTGGTCAAGGGGTACTACTCCCTCTACGAACCCGATGGTACCGAGAGGATCGTCCACTACACCGCAGACAAGAAGAATGGTTTCAACGCCGTCGTTGAGAGGAAAGGACACGCTGTCCACCCACAAAACTATGGACACTCCTCTGAAGCCTACTACGGACACCATTCTGGTGGATACTCCGGCTCTTCAGGTGGTTCCTCCGGTTACAGCAGTGGATCAGCATCTTCTTCATCATCTTACCACGGTCATTACTAAGTCATAAATAAATTTATGTAAATAGTCATTTTTTACTTTTATAAATAAATTATATTTTTAAAAACACACTGTTTTAATTTAAAATAATTATATTTAGGAAAACCGCAATCAACTTTAAAAATAACTACTTGAATAAATGGAAGGTAAAAAATCGTATAATTTGTACGATATTTGGTACTTATCAAACGGATTTCATTTTTCCAAATTATATTTGCTTTTATAACAAATATAATATCTTTTCTATACATATAATATAATATCTTTTCTATACAAATACATATCTTTTCTTTATTTGTTAATTTGAATTTCATATAACCTGTAATGCTACGCTTTCATCTAATCTATAAGGCTCATCGCCGGATGTAATAAACTTAAAATACGTGACAGCGTGTATGATAAGCCAATTATTTACAGTATTATTCCAATTACCACTAGATTATAACTAAAGAAGACTAGGCAACTAGTTATTTACATGTTACTTATTTCGGTTATCCTTGCTTATATTATTTAAAATGGGAGGTTAAACAATAATAAATAATAACATCAAAAGTACTCCATGCTAAAGTAGAAAAAATACTCTCGGAGTAAGACATTAAGATACGTTTTTCTATTTCAAATTGTAGAACCATATTTAAAATTAGAAAAAAAGCCATTTATAAAGTTGTTTACGTTAAAACAAAAAATTGGCAGCTAAAATGTAGGATACGAAAGGAAGAATTCAAGATCGGAGAGAACAGTTTTTGCTAGCAATAAATATTTCAAGGCTGATAAGTGGAGACAGGTCTGCCAACCATGTTTTATGAGTGTATTTTTGTTTTCAACTTCATGAGTAACAGTATGGGGGCGTCGAGTATTTATAAGCTGATACGATTTCATGATGTAAATATGATCCGTAAATGAAATTTGAAAATATTGAGGTATAAATATTGTTTAATGAAAAATTATAAAAGAAAAACAATCTCTAATTAATAATAAAAAAGAAAATAAAACGCGACAAGATATCGTAAATCAAAGGAAAAATAAATAAATTAAAAAAAAAATTACAATCAAGTAAATACGTTATAAATCGCCAAAAACAAAAAAAAAGTTATGTGTTGAATAATTTTTCTTAGATCAATATTTTTAGATTTTTAATGTGGTTTTTTTTCACTTTCACTTACCTATATATGCAATATACAGTAAGGGTATGTATTGCGATCGCGAAAATTTTCGAGTCTGAGTTTTCATATATGTTATGAAAATATATATTATGAGCTCTCCTAGAGTCCAAATGACCAAGTCCCGCAGAATGGTCTGTGTGTGTTTATGTATGTTATCAGTCTAGCACAAATTGCATATTTCAGTCGTATGGAAGTGAAATTGCATATTTAAGATTTTTATAAGCTTATGATGTCATAGCAACATTTTCGTCGATATCGGCAAACCGGAAATGGTACTTTATATAACCGATTTAAAACATTTTTACGATCTCAAAAACGGCTCTAACGATTTTGATTAAACTCAGTATATCAGTGTATAATTAAGCAGTTTTTAATATAATGCAGGTTTTATTCTCATTGATGCTATCAGGGATTAAAAGGCTAATTTTCAATATTGGCTTCCTCTTAAGTACCTTTATGTTTTTTTATTTGGAATAATTAACCATTTCACATTAATCTTTGATATAAAAATAGTTAAATATAAAATATGAAATAAAATAGAAATATTAAATATAAAATAACTTGATAATTAACTAAAGGAGAAATAAGTGATAGTAACGGATAATAGTTATAATAGCGGATTTAAGGAATACGAGCATGCCCGAGCTCTCCCGAAAGATTACAACAGGCTTCCATACGTAACATGAGCTTCATTTAATACGGACTCCGACAATATTATGTTCATATACATATGCGGTTTTCATAAATGCTATCTTCGGTATTATTTAATATTTAATTCTATAAATTACATCGATATAAAAATTAAAATTGGTTTGCATAAGGTTATTTAAAAAAATAAAAATACCCACAATAAATTGTAAATAAAGATTGCTGCAATAATTTTTACTTTCACTTCCCCTTTGTCTTAAAAAACTTATTTCTGCTAAGGAGGTGCGCGAGTGAAAGTTGATGCGCGCACCAGATTTTTTTTTAGTTTTATCATCAGAGTAAGATGTTTTGGCAAATATTTGCCTCCAATGACCTGCATTGTTTAAATAATTCTCTAACTTGTGGTTAGAGGTAACTACGTTTGGTAAATAAATTAAGGGAAATTTAAAACAACTTTTTATAGAAACTTTAACTAATTCATTAATTCACTGAATTCAAATGTCAATATCTTGAAATACGTAGTAAGAAACGATAATAAGTAATTTCTGAGTGAAGTAATTGTGAGTTATTATTGTCTAAAAATAGTGTGTAAACATTACAGTGAAAATTAAACTACACTGTTTTTTTTTTTTTTTTCATACGATCAATTGATGGATATGAAATTTAAAATTAAATAGAAATTAATAATTACTTTTAAAATTGAAATTTATTTTCAGATATATCTTTATAAATGAATATTTTTTCTCCTTAACAACAAGCTACAATAAACATTGTTTTCGTGTGGGAGTTTCAAAAAAACATTTTTTGCTCATAATCGAAATATTTTACGTGCATTTCATGATGAAGACATTAAAGAAAAAAATTGATCCCGTCTTATGGTTCTGTCTTACAGCTAGATTGGAAAATGTTAACATTAGCTATGTTAAACTCATTGATGCAAACGTTCTAAACTCCACTGGTACTTTGCCAGAAAGATTCATCACTTAATCAAATCCTGCTTTTATTTTGGTCCTCTTTTTCCTGTTCCTTTCACTATACAAAGCTAAAGATTTGACGATAATTAATACAATAAAGATAAATAAGATTGAAGTTTTTTTAATCATACAATTTTCTTTTTTTCAAAACCATCATAAGACCAATATAAATATTAGAGCATTGTTGGAATAACTGATTGCGAATTCATTTAATCAGTAGCCTTACATCATTCAAGTTATTCTTAAAGGTTAAGCCAAGACACTTCTGCCGTCTTTAAAACAACCCTCTACCTGGTCGTTTTTGGCAACAGTTCTGGAAGTACAACTAAACCTATTCATACCAGTGTGAAAAGATTGAGATGTATTCCGTGGATCCGCCAAAAAATAAATTTTAACCCTCCCACGCCGCATTCAAACTGGCGTCGCTAGGCTCGAGAATGTTAAGACTACACCTTTTTTTTAGAAATATAACAATCTGTCACGTGGACAATAATTATAGTGATATATGATATAACACATTCACACCATATATACAGAAAATATAAAATTAACACAAGTAAAAAAATAATCAAAAACTATGTACAATAAAAAATAAAACAACCTAAAGATAAATAAATTAAAAACATAAAAACACAATCATACCTATATACAATATTTACAATCAGGCAGGGAACCCCAAGCCAGGCTTCTCCCTCCAACTATAGAAGGAAAAATGGGACTTCAAGAGATCCCTGCGCTACTCTCTCTACCGCGTCACTGCTGCTAAATCCAGTGGAGTATGATCGAGAGGGCTTATCCACAAGATTGCACTTTAACACGATCGGTCATCACAATCTCATCTAAATATAATCATATTTATTACTTGACAGTAATACAAAAATCTAATAGCCCTCTTTTAATTCAGTTCAAGTTTTTCCTATAATCCCAACGAAGACTTCATAAGCAAAATATAAAAATAATCTGTAAAAAAAACTGTAATAGTTTCAATACAAATTATGAAGCAAAATGAAAAATGCGTGGGATTTTCCGAAAACTTGTTCTTTCCATATTTGAATTTGGGCTGCCAACGGTCTCAAGAGATTCCTTGATTAACAAATTCCAGAGTATAAATATTGTATTTATGTTTTGTAATGTTCCTTAATTATGATATTGTTCTTGTATTAAGCAAATCGAAAATACGAATGATTATTGTGGCAATGAATATTTTACTTATACTGGCAGAAAATGAAATCTACAAAAACAATATTGGATGAACAAAAAATCCAATATACAAAAAAACGTATCTAAGTTAAATTAAAATTCTATTATACATATGATAATATATTACTGACGAAAAAAAAATAACATATAAACTAGAAATTCAGATATTGAATATCATTAATAACTATTAAAAGTTTCCCCCAAAATATGATTAATATTTTTGTGTATGTTGTTTATTATTTTTATATGTTTATTAAACAAAAAGTGAGACAAGGCAATGACTTTCAATGCTCAAGGTCCTGGATTCGAATCCGGCTGATGACAGGTAATTACTTATTTTGTTATATTAGGCTTACAGGTAATTATTAATAAATAATTGATAAACATGAAAAACCTGGTGGTTGGGCTTGACTCACCTCAACAACCTACCTACACAACCGTTAGCCTAGAAATAATATTTTTTTATAAAATGACCCTTTATAGGTTGTACCGATATCGGTTTATTAAATATTGGCAGTATTTTTTTTAAGTAATGGAATCTAGGATATAAATAACTTGGGTTTTTTTTTTAATAATTTATTATAAAAGTATAAAAATATTATTTACACACATTTGGTTTGAAATTAATAATGCCCATAAGATGAAGAAGAGGAAGCTTGACCACCTTTGTAACCAGAGGAGCCACTGGAAGACCCTGAGTATCCACTGGAAGAACCAGAGTATCCTCCAGCATGTCCGTAGTAAGCTTCAGAGGAGTGTCCGTAGTTTTGTGGGTGGACAGCGTGTCCTTTCCTCTCTACGACGGCGTTGAAACCGTTCTTCTTGTCTGCGGTGTAGTGGACGATCCTCTCGGTACCATCGGGTTCGTAGAGGGAGTAGTAGCCCTTGACCACGTCTCCTTCCCTGGTCTCTTCTTGCTTCTTGATGTCGTGGGTGTGGGGATCATGTACGCTGTAGTCGAACTTGTAGTGTGGTGGGGCCTAGATAAAAAGACAATAGGCGATGCTTAGAGTCCCAATCTTTGTCAATAAGAATGATTAAATGGTTAATGTAAATAATTTTAAACAATTACATAATAGTCTACGTAGTGTTCCTCCTTGTGTTCCTCCTTGTGTTCATAGTTGTGACCGTACTGGGCCACGGCTACACCTACCAGACAGGCGAAAAGGGCTACCTGAAATATATATATTCAGTTAAGTATATAGATATATATAGCGAGGTATCTATGTAACGTATGTGTGTATGCTGGCACCTTGTACATGTTGATCGGCTGAGTGGACTGCTTCGACTTGCTTCTTCCCTTCTCCTCTGGCCTTATATATTCAGCGGGTATCGTTTCTTCACACTCGTCCCACCCCAAATACTTTAGGATATAGTTTAAAAATGTTGTATATCATTTTTAGAAGATTTTAATTGGTATCATCTTCATGATTATCTTCAAATTTTCACGCAATCATTATTTTACTATACGATAAAATTCTTAAAAGAAATTTATTTTTAACGAACTGAATTCACTTTAAAAAGTTTCGATTGTTTTTATAAGAAATTTGGTTCTGGTGCTATAGCCTCTATATTTTTACTTATTAATAAATACTTATTATATATTAACTTATTTATTGAAAAATATTACAATCCGTCTCAAACATTCATAATAGTGTTCAGAGATGACATTCACACTAGCCTCTAATTAATTTAATTCTTTTGAAATATGAGCAAGAAGATGCATGATATTGTGGTAAACTACTATTATTTCTAAAACCACATTGCATTATTTGTAACAAAATAAAAATTAAATTCCGCTCTGTATTAAACGAGCATATCTTTGGGCCTTTACAAAGCTTTTTATTAGAATTTTTTTAATTTTATATTGTATAAATAACCATTATTTAATATTTTTTATAACTAAATGTTTATCTTAGGTTTTATTTTTATTTTAACACTAATACCATATTCCTGACATTTCGAGACGTAGTCGGCTGCAATCATAGATAAATTTAATTTTAATCAAACCTTAAATTACGATGTAAGCAGTAATATTAAAAATTTTGATCAGATTACATTAAAAATTTTCTAAAACGATTACGAAAAAACTGTCTTTAATTTTATCTATAAGCACTTATTTTTCTTTAATAACCGATGCAAATTAAAATATAAAAAGTTACATTTTATTTTTAATATTAAATTTCTCATTTTTTTTTCATCTCCTCATTACAACCTGTTTGATCTGTAAGTAGAATAATTTGGATATGTCAAGAATACTATCTAACAAAATAATACTATCTAAATTGGTGTCTGAATCATCTTTTTCATAGTATGTCGTTTAATTTGTTTATATATGTATATATATATATATATATATATATATATATATATATATATATATAATTTCTTATCCTTCATAAGAAATATATTGAAAAAAAAAATGATAAAAGCAAAATATCCATTTATGATATTTAAGGCCTAAAATATAAGTTTCATAGTATGTCGTTTAATTTGTTTATATATGTATATATATATATATATATATATATATATATATATATATATATATATATATATAATTTCTTATCCTTCATAAGAAATATATTGAAAAAAAATGATAAAAGCAAAATATCCATTTATGATATTTAAGGCCTAAAATATAAGTTGATATCCAAAACAAGATTAAACTTATTTATTGCGTGTAAAACCTCAATAAAAAGATAATATCGTTCTACACTAAATCATTTAGTTTCAGAATAACAGTTATAAATATGCTGTACTAGTAATTTATGCATGCATATTCTCAAATACTTCGATTGAAGTCTATATGCTTGTTTTTAGGATAAATAATTTAATTTTGTACTCAAAATAATTTTAATAATTACTAATATAATTAAAAGATTTTCATTTAGAGAAAGGAGGAGTATTGAGGTGCGAAATATTAATAGTTTTGCGTTTTAAAAAAGCATTTTACTCCACTTTATTCCTTTGGTATGTAGACATTGTTTCATTATTATATCCATGCTAAAGTCAAATATACTTATTTTTCTAGACAAGAAGGGTAATTAGTGGAAGCACAGATCTTGGTATGTTGTCCTGATTCGGGTCCGAAAACATGATAAACGTGTATATATATATATATATATATATATATATATATATATATATATATATATATATATATATATATATATATATATATATATATATAAAAATTCAATATTTTTGTTCAATATTTCGCCTTTGATTCCTTATTAGATCCACCATGTAGTATAATACAGTTTTTATAACTACATTGAAAATATACACATTCTACAAATACAGATAGAATTAAATCATTTATGTCCAACTTTAATTGCAATATAAGCTTTTATAGTTGTATTATAAATACACATTCGGATCCCATAATAACATTGAAGTTTAGGATGGAAGCATTTCAGTTGATTAATATTTTGGTATTGCTGTGCATAGTAGTTATGAATGCGAAAATTATTTTAAATATTTTTAATATAAATATAATATACTCCCCCGATTTTTAATATAATGAGGCAAATAATCTAAACAAAATTATTTATTTTTCAACCTAATATTATAACATATTAATTCTTTTTAAAATTGACAGTATTTTTTTAATTATTTAGATTACTGAGTAATAAAAATAAAAGAAAAAACGAATACAGAAAATGACATGCTTTGCTTACGATTTAATCCATTTTTTTAATCAATGTTAAAGATCTACTTTCCAACGGAGTCTGTCCTGATTTCTGGCAAGATTAAAAAACAGGTGCTTGAATCAAGATACTGTGGGTGGAAATATCCAAGCTTACAGCAAACATAAGAACTTAAAATGAAATTTTTGAGGCTTTACATAAGTAAAATTATCATCATTTATTAAACTTTATTAAAAAATTCAAACTTTTCACTATTATTCTGGAAATGAATGCTCTTATGTAGAACTCTTTCTTTATGTTACGGCTGTTTCAAAGATAAATTTTTTTTTTTTGCTCTCTGGCTTCACTACAGAAAACAAGTGTCATATCGTTCGGATATTGAGTTTCAAAATCTCTGGGCATTTTGCTTCATTGTTCATCATCTTATTTTGTGTTAAATGTTTTAATATATCTCTCATTGCCATACGGAAATACAGTAACAGTATGCATGTTAGAGATTTTCGTTTATTGTTGAAATGATACCAGAATTTAAATTACTTGAGTAGTTCTTTTCATTTCCAAATTAATTTTAGATTTATTAGCCTCTTAATTTCAAATTGACTATTTTTTCTTTAATATCATAGCTAGCAGATTTTTATTGTTACATATAAATGATGATAAACTACTTAAAATGATAAAATACCTATAAAGTAGAAGCTGATACAGGCATGATTTTAGTGAATTTTCTTTGTGGAAAAAGGTAACTTATAAAAAATAAATTGTTTGTACATTTAATATTGATATGCTTTAGTCACTTGTAGCATGCGAAAATAAATTATTTGAAAAACATCAAAATTAAAAATCCACACTTTAAACGAAAGATTAGGAAATAGGATTAGTATTATCAGATAAATAAAAAACTAAAGACAGGTATTGAAATCTTAACAATATTAAACGATGCTTATTTATATAATATAAAAGAAAAACTATCCTTTAGAAAGACTCAAAGCGATGTAAATACACAGGGTTAATTTAATTTTTTATTTGTGTACAAATTATACAATATGGTTTCAGAACTAATTTTAGTTCAACATATTTTGATACATGATCTTATTCATATGTCAAACTGTATGAAATAATTAGAGGCTATGGCGCCAGAAACAAATTTGCTACAAAAATAATCGACATTTTTTTAACTGAATTCAGATCGATAAAAAATAAATTAAGAACTGGATCTTATAGTAAAAGAACGATTAAATAATAATTTGAAGTTGATCTTAAAGGTGATAGCTACCAAAATCTTCTTAAGAATAATGTACAAAATGTATCCTAAAGTATTTGGGGTGGGACGAGAGATGAAGAAACGATGCCCGCTGAATATATAAGGCCAGAGGAGAAGGGAAGAAGCAAGTCGAAGCAGTCCACTCAACCGATCAACATGTACAAGGTGCCAGCATACACACATACAATACATGGATACCTCGCTATAGATATCTATATACTTACTAAATAACTGAATATATATTTTAGGTAGCCCTTTTCGCCTGTCTGGTGGGTGTAGCAGTGGCCCAGTACGGTCACAACTATGAACACAAGGAGGAACACTACGTAGATTATTATGTAATTGTTTATAACTATGTACATTAACCATTTAATCATTTATTGACAAGGATTGTAATTGTAAGTTACACCTCTTGTTTTTTCAGGCCCCACCACACTACAAGTTCGACTACAGCGTACATGACCCTCACACCCACGATATCAAGAAGCAGGAAGAGACCAGGGAAGGAGACGTTGTTAAGGGCTACTACTCCCTCTACGAACCCGATGGTACCGAGAGGATCGTCCACTACACCGCAGACAAGAAGAACGGTTTCAACGCCGTCGTTGAGAGGAAAGGACACGCTGTCCACCCACAAAACTATGGACACTCCTCTGAAGCTTACTACGGACACCAATCTGGAGGATACTCCGGTTCTTCAGAAGGTTCCTCCGGTTACAGCGGTGGTCAGGCTTCTTCCTCATCATCTTACGGTCATTACTAAGTCATACGTTTTGTGTATATAGTCATTTTTCTACTTTTGTAAATAAATTATATTTAAAAAAAATATTTTTCATATAAAATAATTACATTTACCACAACAATAACCTCTTTTAAAAATCACTTAAATAAATGGTAAATTATAAAAAATACATTTTTTTTAACGATGTTAGAATTCGATATCAGAATTCAATTTATTAATTTTTTTTGCAATCAAACATCACAAGTCTTGAAGAATGTTGTCAAAACTGGAGGATTAAAATAAACTCCAATAAATCCCGTCAAATTATTTTTACCCTTCGTCGCAAACCTATGACTTTCTGCCCTACTGTATCCTTTAACCATGCCTGTTGAATACTTATCTCTGTTGAACAACTCCTATACCTAGGACTCCACCTGGACAAACGACTTACTTGGAATCTTCATACCAGACTGCAACGGCAAGAAACTGTTCGGTGTTTTCGAGTACTCCAGTACTCACTAGACAAACGCCCTAAACTTCCAATTACTTAAAAAAGACTTGTAAATATGACTACAGTAAGGCCTATTTCAATTTACGTAATGAAGCTTTGGGGCGCTAATAAACCACCGAATTCCTCTGGTATTCAATCATTACAATCCAAAACCCTCCGTAAATCCCGAATGCACCT